AGCCAACAGCCTCCCAGTACCCTGCAGTAGTAACCAGGGTACTTTCAGATCCAATCTAAAGGCTAAAGAAGAGATGTCATTGTGTGCCTGTCTTCTCAGCTCCTTTATTCCTGTCTTAGAACTTCAACTGATGAAGATAGACTCTCAGGTCTCAGAGCCCCATACGCTTGCAGTTAGTGACAACTTTATTCCAATATCTTACCCTGCCTGAATCCCTCTATTACCCCTAAGAAGTGATCACTTAACCTCTGTGTGAATGCTTATAGTAGTGGGGAATTCACTATCTCACAAAACACCCCATTTCATATTTGGACAGCATTATTAGCTACAAAGTCCTGCTATAGATTGAGGGAAATATGGCTTTTCTGTAACATTCACATATTTGTTTCATATACTTTTCAACATATATCCTCTAGGCTAAACATCACATATTTCTTTAGTGGCTTTTTATGTGACAAGTTTTTAAGAAGCTCAGTTTAGACTCATGGCAACCCCATGTGTGCAGAGTAGAACTGTTCCATAGGGTTTTCAAGGCTGTCTGTTGAGGTGCCTCTAGGTAGGTTGGAATTGCCAACCTTTCAGCTAGCAGTCAAGCACTTAACCGTTTGTACCGCCCAAGAAGCTCATTATCATCCTGATTATTCTTAAACTCTGTAGTTGCTGAGTCAAGCTTGTTTCTGCATCCATAAAATAGGGTAAGAGTGGCAATGCCTACGATCCTGAACTGATCAAATGAATTAATGTATGTGAAAGCATTTTTACCCTGTAAAACACTTCATTAACATAAGATACTATAAAATGTATATGCTTGCTGGAAGGCATCATGGCAAAAAAAATATTAGAAACTTGAAACTCAAAATGCAGTCTAAGGACCAGCTTGTTAGAAATGAAGACTCCCAGGCCCACTCCATATCTATTAAATCCACGTTTGCATTCCAACAAGATCTTCAAGTGTGTTTCACACACACATTAAAGTCTGAGGAGCCCCGCAGACTTAAAAATGTGCATATACTTTCACTCAGTCATTCCTCTGTTAGGTATTTATCACAAGGAAATGATAAGATACATGTAGAAAAGATGTTCATAAAGGACATTTTTATAATAGCAAAAAATTAGAAAGAACCTATAGGTCTACTAATAGAAAACTGGCCAGGAGCTTTATGGTTCATTTGTGGATGTACCCATTCTCCCCAAGAGGCTTGTTCGTGTCTAGCATATCTAAGTGCCATTGTCAGCCTGTGCTAAGTGACCTGAGAGGTTTTTCAGCTGGTGATGGTACCAAGAAGATGCCCGCTTCTAAGCTGGTGGTTGTTGTTTGAACATAGGCTCAAAACGGCATTTATATCTCTGGGTAGGTTCTCTCCTGTGAGAGAACCAGGCCATCTGCCTCTGTCATCTCCCAAGGGTTCAATCAGTTTTTTAAAATGTGCTAGCATATCTGGGCATTTCATGTTCTCTGTATAATTGCCAGGTACAATCATTGCTTGCATGGCTTCAGTTGAGTTCGTAATTAACTAGAGAAGGACTAGTGAAGATGCCATTTAGGAATTGTTTGCAGGCTACTTTCAATTTACTAACTGGTCCCTAATTTTTTTTTTTTTTTTTTTCTTTTTAACTGAGAAATGTGATTAGCTCCTTAGTCACTGAGCCTTTCTTACATCTTTTTTACTATTGTTATTTTAAATGAACAGATTAGGCAGAGAAAGCCTTTTAACGTGACCAAATTCAGTTTGGGAAATTTCAGGGAAAATGTTTCCTGAGAACCCTGTTTAAAATTGTAAAGCCACCCTGAATTTGTTTCCGAAGCCTGCCATAGCATAAACTGGGTGACTTATAAGAACAGAAATGTCTTGTCTCATAGTTTTGGAGGCCAGAAGTCTGAAATCAGGGTGTCGGCCTTGTTGTTTCCCTCTGAGGGCTCTGAGGAAGAATCTGTTCCGTGCCTCAAGACCCGATTTCCAAACAAGGTCACACTCACAGGTATCAGGGAATTGGGGCTTCAACATATCTTTTTGAGTGACACAATTCAATCCGTAACACATCATTCCTATACTCATAGCTCCTTCTCCTGCTTTATTTTTCTCCATAGCACACATCACCATCTACTACTCTATATTTTATTTAATTGGTTATTTTATTTTACTGATTGATTATCTGGCCCCCTCCACTGGAAAGCAACCTCTATGAGGACAGAGAGCCTGGTCTCTTTTGTTTGTTGCTGTATAAGCTGGACTTAGAAAGTGGTGAGCACCTAGAAGTTGCCCAATAAATATCTGTGGAATGCACAGTTGAATGAATTTGTGCAAAACATCTGTGGGTCCTTAGACCCACTGGTCTTGCTGGGCTGGAGAACAGAGTCGTTTATTAATGTAGACTCTATTCAAGGTACACAAGAGCTTTTTAGTCTCTTATTTAGTCTTATAAGTCTGTCTTGGAAGTACAGCCAGAATGCTCCTTAGAGGCAAGGATGGCGGGACTACGTCTCACATACTTTGGACATGTTATAAGGAGGGATCAGTCCCTAGAGAAGGATATCTTGCTTGGTAGGGTAGTAGGTCAGCGAAGGAGAGAAAGACCCTCAGTGAGATAGATAGACACAGTGGCTACAACGAGCTCAAGCATAGCAAGGATTGTGAGGATGGCACAGGACCAGGCAGTGTTTCATTCTGCTGTGCATGAGGTCACTGTGAGTCGGAACAGACTTGATGGCACCTAACAACAACAATAACAACAATGAATATTAATGCTAATAACTGGGATTGTAGGCAAAGGCTAAGTTATCCAGTTCTATATAAAGCTAAGAAGAAGGTAACTGACAGGAAGATCTTAGAATTCACATTAGAATCATGCAAGCCAACATTCACACAAGCAAAAAGATCAAGCTAAGTAAGATATGAGTCTAGGCAGGGTGAGCAGTCTAGGAATAGGTAAGCACAGTACGCCCGGATCCATGAGTTCTCATGTCTAAGAGAGCCAGACCAGAATAAGAATGTAAATTCCATGAGAAGGGACATAATCTGTCTCATTCCTTCAGGCACAGTGATATGCCAGAATTAAAAAAAAAAACCATTGCCATCAAGTCAATTTTGACTCATAGTGACCCTATATAGGACAGAGTAGAACTGCCCTATAGGGTTTCCAAGGAGCGGCTGGTGGATTTGAACTGCCAACATTTTGGTTAGCAGGCGAGCTCTTACCCACTGTGCCACCAGGGCTCCACGAATGCCAGAATAGTGCCTCCAAAACCCAAACCGAACTTGCTACCGTGGAGTTGAATCCAACTCATGGTGACCTCATGTGTTACAGAGTAAAAATGCTCCGTAGAATTTTCTTGGTTATAATCTTTATGGAAGCAGATCAAGGGGACTTTCTTCCACAGCGCTGCTGGGTGGGTTTGAACCACCAATCTTCAGGTTAGCAGTCAAGCGTAAACCGTTTGTGCCACCCAGGGAATAGTGTCTAACCTAGCACATAGAGGAGCCCTGGTGGCAAAGTGGTTAAGAGCTAGGGCTGCAAACCAAAACACTGGCAGTTTGAAGCCACCAGCTGCTCCTTGGAAACCCTGTGGGGCAGTTTTACCCTGTCCTATAAGGTCGCTATGAGTCAGAATCTACTTGACGGCAACGGGTTTAGCACATAGAAATGAGTATTTGTTAGATTGATGAGTAATCTACTGACTAGATACAATTCATGTAGTCATTAAGAAACACTGCTATAGAAATAAAGGTATTGATATACTCGGAAATGGAAAAACCAAGTAAAGAATTACACTTAAAGTGTGATTCCATCTTTGTGTGTGCATATATAAACATCTATAAGAATACACCAAAATGTCAACAGTGGTTATAGTTGTCTCTAGATGATGAGTTTAGGGGTAATTTTAACTTCTTTTTATTTCTCTATATTTGCTAATTTTCTAATTAACCTTTGTTATATCCATAATACAGAGGATTTTTTAAATCACCTGTGTGCTATGTTGTGTAAGTGTATAATATTGTTATGGGAAAGACATTCCATCATTACCTTTGACCTCAGGATGTTAACTTCTTGCTTAATTCAGGAGTCCCAACAAAGTCCTTGGAGTTCCAGATGGCAGAATGCTAAAGGAAGAGTGAGAAGCTCCTCCCCTTTCTTACATCCTCCTCCAACTCTTAAAATGCTTCTGCTGAATTGCTGGGTGGAGAGCTGTGGGGACCATGGTCTCGGGGAACATCTAGCTCAACTGGCATAACACAGTTTATAAAGACAATGTTCTACACGCTACCTTGGTGAGTAGCGCCTGGGGTCTTAAAAGCCTCTGAGCAGCCATCTAAGATACTCCACTGGTCTCATCCCTTCGGGAGCAAGGGAGAATGAAGAGAACAGGAT